CTCTCGACCCAACTTTGTTTACGTTACAACTTCTCGACCTGTGTTCTTTATTAAAAGCCGTTTTGTACCGCCGTCACCTTAAAGTACCAACGCTTAACCTGTAAGAGTCCTGTGCTGCTACGCATAATGTAACGAGTTAAGTTCCCGGAACATTTAATCCGTTTACTCCATCAAGTCGACCTCTTTTTCACGTGCTCGTGCACCGCAAAGATCCCAGCCGCACGCTAGCTCACTAAATGCACGAAAAGCAAGCTTTGAGGAAGCTACATTCTTAGTTTGTTGTCTTGAGTTTGAGAGAAGACTGGAAGCTTTTAAGGGCGTTAGCCCTTTTCCTGATTTCTGTCAAAAGGAGTGTATTTAGCTTACTGTTTGTTTTCTCTTCTTTTTTCGGTCCTGGTGTTAGAATGTAACATTATTATTTTTGCCTATGTCATAGGCTTTAAAGTTCAGTCTCAAAATGCACAGGAGGCTTTTGGAAAACAAAACTGGAATTATGTATTAGTTAAAAAAAAAGGCCCCTTGCTTAATTGCTCAAAACTTAAATAACTAAATGGAGAGAACACATTTTTGTACGGTGTTCCGTGTAAAACCCTGTTTAGTAGAAAGATTTTAAAACCATGCTTATTACTTTGGCTGTGCTAGCATAGTTCTGCTGCCTGGGCAGTTATAAGTTGGTCGAAGCTCGCACAACTTCAATAAGTTCTCTTTGCTCTAAATCCGCAGGGTTGCAGACATGGATTCCATAATGAACGTGGTGACTCCCCGCTCCCCAGCCCCCACTAAGAAGCTGTCAGAGGTGGACTTTCGCTCAGGGGCCACCCTGGAGCAGCTGTCGGCACAAGTGACTGAGCTGGTAGTGCTGGAGCAGGGGGAGTTTGGAGACCAGACGGCCTTAGAAGTCCACACTGCCAAGGATTTTATCTTTAACATGCTCGGTATAAACCTTACTTTTATTCACGCCACACATCACAGGCTTGAAATGTTCCGTGTAAAACCCTGTGAAGCTAGTTTTGAGAGCTATTAAGTCAAGCGAAGAGGATTTGATGATGATTACAGACAGTTGTGTGTACAGTGAATATTGGAAATTCCTCAGTTCCAGGGTGACTCTGTAAGGGACGTAAAGCATCCTGCAGACATGCATAACAACGAGTGTGCCGCTTGAGTGAGATTACATTCTCCGTTGGAATGGTGTAGTTCCAGTTACAACAGTTTGTTTTGTTCAGCCGCTGAAAAGTGCTAAAATGTGGCACCGTTGGTGTGAAACTGCAAAGAAGGATTTGTGATGTACTTAAACGTTATTCTTTCGGAAGGTGCATTCTGAGCAAAGGGTGAAAACATAGTGTTTCCCAAAGCTGAACTCTGGACACACATCAGATTTTCTTATCCACCTAGAAAGCACAGAATCGATAGAAAACCAAGTAAAAAGTGTGTGAAATCTGCCTCACAAAATGAAATACTTTGGTAGGGCATCTCATGCGAAAGGTTACTTTAGCTGTTTTGTCTTTGACTGAACACACGCAGCTTCAGCGTGAATCTAAAAATCTCAGGTGCAAAGAATTACAGGAGTCGGTTTGGATGTGCGGTTCACGCTGCATCTGAAAATTCACTTTATAGAAATGGCTATAGCTGCTCCCTACAAGTAAAGCCCAGATTAGGCACCTGCTGAGGAAAGTTAGGCCCGTTCCCTCTGGATGGACTTTTGGAGGGAAAGGACTGTTACATACAGTTTGATACATACACACTAATAAAAACATGGCTTTGTTATATTCTTGAAGAATTTCTCAGGACTTTCTTCTCATAGATGTATAAAATGTGGTCTTTGTATATTTTTAGGGGGTGGTTTGTACTGCCTATGGTATTTGGCCAGGGATTCTTCTTTCCCTGTGGCTTGTGAGATGTGGCTGGGAGAGGATCTGAAAAGGTTGGAAAGCGGGACAGCTGCTTTGGGTTTAATGTAATGCTCTTCTGAAACAGTTTTTTTTTGGCATGAAGATGTGCGTAGTCCTTGCAGAATGCTGTGGCAATAAGGGTGTATGGTTGATTTGCGGTTTGTGTTGTCTCATCCATAGAGAAGCCAAAGCAAAGGGCAGTCTATCTTAAAAGAACCGTTCTGTTTTGCATATTTGTGTCCTAGAACAACAATTTCCTACTAATGCACTTTGGAGTGGTTGTTGCTTATTTGTAAAAGCCACCCACTCTAGAAATGCAAATTTGTTCCCACAAAATTTCTGGATTATTTACAGGGAAGCTGCTTTCTTGTTAAAGTTTTTTTTAGATAATTAGCTCTTTCTTTCTCTCTTTTGTTATTATTGTGTCAAGAACATTTTTTCTAGCCAAGTAACTAAAAGGACAGTGTTTGACTTTTAGCAACAACAGCCTTCGGCGGGCTCTACTTACTACTTTACTGCCTACTCTCTACCCAATATAGTCGGTTTCATATGTTCTAATAGCATGCAGCTGCCCCCACTTGGGCTCATTGTATGTTTTACATGACATAACTGAGCCTGTTTACCTTTAATTGCACATCCGTATTAGTGCCAGTGCTTTAGCAGGTCAGTAAAAATAATGAAACAACAATGTTTTGGTCAATAGATGGAATAAGAACAAATTAGAAATACATTTGTGATCATCAACATTTTAATCTACCTACAGTATGTTTTCTCTGTTCTGGGACAAGAGGAAATTTAGTTTAGGTCAGACTAACACCTGGAAGATTGAATTTAAATGGGACGCAGGTTCTCAGGTTGGCCCTTTTTGTCACTCAGGGTGGATGCCAGCATGAATGGCGAAAACAATTTAACACAGTGGACCCGGTTTGCACAGATATAATGGGCCAGCTGCAGTATGTTGAATTTAATCCCCTAATAGACTCATTATGTCCACAGGTGTAGGAATTATGGTGGTGGGATTGACAATGTTCACGTTTCAGATGCAAATTGCTTTCTTAATGAAATCTTGGAATTGAAGCTCATCCAGTGCATGACTAATTTTTATTATCATGCAAAGCCCTCCTTTTCTTTTCTTTGCATGGTGTTTGTTTGTCCAATAGGTGGCAGTCTTCCCCTTCCCAGCTGGCCTCCACCATCCTAGGTTTCCTCACATCACTCTTCATCCTGGAATTAAGAAGGACCGGTCTTTAAAGTCCTCCTTCGTTTCCTTTTTCAGTGTATGGAGAGGCCCATGTGTGGTTCAGCTTTTTTTGGCTGCATCTTGGAATATTGGCAGCATCCATTTTACTCTTCCTGTTGTATTTCTGAGACGGCGTGTTGTTTGACAGACAGCTCTACTAAGTTTCAAGTTTCCTCCTTTATCCTCTGCACATAGTGCCATCAAACAGGCTGCCTCATCTGGGGAGAAATCGCACAAATCAAAATGGCTTCCAGGCTTGTTTCTCGTATTTATCTCATCACCATATACTGGAAGATATTAGCTTCTTTTTTTTCTTTTTCGCTTTTGTTCAGATTTTCCATAACTTCTTGACTTTTGCCTTTACTCCCACTGACTCTTGAGAAATGTTTGATATCTTTTAGGTTATTGAGGCCGCCTTTGCCTGCATACCGATTCCTGGTTCGCTGGTATTTCCGTACCCTGCGTCTCACCACCCACTGCGACAGCTCCAGCTGTATTGAACGGGTTAAGAAAAAAAAAAGAAAGAGGAGTTTGACACTTTGAACAGAGGGAAAAAGTCTCCGTTAGATTCCAGGAACAGGTAGAGATAAGCGTGCGACGGCTGCCACGTTTGGAGCTCTGGGCCCTGCTGGTGGATGAAAGGCAAACACGGGCTTCTCCCCACAGAGGCCCCGTTTCGCCGCGCAGGCCCGCCGCTGTGGAGGTGTCGGCGTGCGTTTGCCTCTGCTTTCGTCAGACTTTTTCTAAAGTTTGAGCTGCAGATGGAGCCCCACTTGGGCTTTGCACACTGTCAGGAAGGAGGGAAGAGAAGGGCGATTAAACTCCCAGTCAGGTATCCACTGATTATCCTCTTAGTCTGACAGGTTCCAGAAGAGAGTGTTATTTACCCGGTGTTTGAGTAAACAATGGAGTTTGCCCTCTCAGGCGCTCGCAGCAGGGGATGCTGTGGAAATCATTGGAAGCCGCGTCTGATAAAGGCAGGAATCGATTCACGCTGCCGGTGGAGCAGAAGAGCCCCTCTCAATCCGGCTTTGCAGATATTAAAGTCTGTCCGCTAGCTTGGTGTCGCTGAAATTTGAGTGCGTCTGATCTGAGCTCAAAGAGGCAGGAGCGCGTGGCTCTGGTTTATAAAATCAGCGCTCGTTCTTTCTCGGATTCTCTTTTTTTAAACAGCTGAACAGAAGCACCGAAGGCCGTCCAAATCAATCATAGGAGGGTTTTTTTTCTTCTTTGTTTCTCTCAACCACAAATCCGATGGCGGCTGCATTTACCTAGAGTCTCGGCTCAGAACCACTGTGGTGCCCTTTTATTTCAGGAGTCCTGAGACTGGTGCTAATGTTCATCCCTTTGGGAGCGCGGCTTCCCGGCTGGTCTGGAGCTCCATCTTGTTAAAGCTCGCGGGGCCTCTGTGAGTGATTCGCTGTCTGGTGGCTTCTCGCCTCGTCAGTGTCATGCACCCGGGGCCTGAGTCGAGCTGTTGTTTTTACCGCATGAGTGGAACGGCGGCTGGGCTGACAGCTGTTCTGGCCAACTAATTCTCCATTAATGCCGTTTTGGATGCGAGAGCCCGTCTTCATTTGGCAGCAAGACGAGAAATCTGGCCCCACAGACACAGGATAGGAATACAATTCTTTATTTCATTAGCTATCCTTTGTACCCGCTCACTTTTCATCAGCTCGCAGACAGTGCTGATCGGCACAGATGAGCAACATGGGTTGTGTGCCATAAAATATGTCCGTGGTAGTCTTTGTGGTTCGAAAGCTGGCACATCAGGGAAAATGAGACAAAAACCCTGTTTCATCAAAGCTGTTTGACGTACAGCCAAACGGCTGTCTCTGCTTTGAGCACGGAAGGATGTCCAGTGACCAAACATGACTACAGATTCCGCAGCGCGTCAGTCTGTGGGTGTCTTCAGGATCCCTTCTTTAATTGGTCCTGATGTATTTGTCATGTTAGGTTAGAAATGTTTTGGCAGTGCGTGACATCATCTACCGCCATGTTCGTTTTAATAACCCTGGTTGACACTGGGGCTTTTGTTCCTTCGGCTACACGCAGAGCATGCCTGAGGCAGAGGGTGTAGTAACTTGTTACTTCTTACGAGCAGTCAGCCCCAGTTGGGGAAAGCGTTTCTCTAACACGGGTCATTTATACTTTATACTTTTTCATGATCTGTCTCTGAGCGATTGAGGGCACACTTTTCCTCTGGTGTCATTTTCTTTTTCTTGGTCTCATCTTTTCTAGTTTGAATTATTCTTATGATCAAGCGTAAGTGTAAGCAGTGTTGAAACTAAAACATTACTCAGGAATGCCACTGATGGCGTTTCAAAAGATGAAAAAAAAAATTCAATGGCACTATTTTTGAGTGTCCATCTTCTGATAAGTTCTTGAGTTTGGTAAAGCCAAACTCAGCCAGTTGTGGTAAAGCCCTCTGAATCAGGGTCCTGCTCCACCACTTGTGATCTAAAGCCAGCTTAACATCAAAGCAAGCAGGTAAAACTCTTGAAATATGGGACATAAGAGGCAGAATTCACACACAAGGCAAACGAGTAGATTGTTGAATGCTAGAGCTGTTTTACCTTGAGATGAGAGCTGCCCTCCAGACAGCGTCATGCTCTGATGCTCTTAAAGTCGGTCAGCTGATCCCCAGTCTGTTTGCCCTGGCGGCTCTGCAGCCACACAACCCACCTGGTGGTTGTTTACAGATACTGGCTACAGCAGCAGCAGAATGTGGGATTCAGCTGCAGCCCTTCAAAGATGACAGTTCTCAAGAAAATATGTACAGTTTTGAGGTTTGTGTACGCTTGAGACGTGTAAAAGTGTGACGCTGTCACATACCCTCTGCAGTAGAATCCTTTCATGTTCTGACAGCTATTGTTTTTTTTAAGGTGGGTAGAGAAAAAGAAACGTTTTAATCCGTGAGGTAATGCTTCTCTATGGGAAAATGCATTGTGTTGCTTCTTCAGATCTATGCTGCCTAATACAGTCAGATTAACAACCATCTGGCCCAAATGCAAACACACCTTCATTACATTTGTGAAAGTCGACCTCTTTTTGTCTAAAGCATGACTCTGTTAGGGTTAGTCAGGAAAATAATTTTGGCGAAAACTATGTTGGCGTTTATATTGTGTTCCAAAGCTGGTCCCGCTTCCATTTACCTGAATTTATTCTCGAAGAAATTGTGTTTGCATGGCTGCTGGTAGCTGTGCTCTGTTGCTGTTCGACAAGGGAAGCTATGAGGATTGATCTGAGGCTGTTGCTCTGTGCACACAGGACTGGATGGGGGATATGTGCCGAAGTTTATGTTTGGTGTATTGGATCTTCATGCCTGGCTTTACCTTTGATTGACGTATTTAAAGTCAGGAGAAGCCTTACGTGCTTTTCCAAGCAGGCAGTTTGCCCCGCCACCCTTATGTTTGAAAGTAAATCTGCAATGGATCACTTGTACTTTCAGACTTCTAGTGATAATTGACCGTCACTTAACAGGGCATGGTACTGCTGACATTATAGAGGAGCTGGAAGGCACAGACGGCTCCCCTCTCTGCAGGTGGTGCAGACACTCGGCCCCCTTTCAAACCCATTTGTGTGCATACCCACAATACGAACCCCCTCCGCTTGGTCTAATTGGAAAAGTCTTATTCCATTCTTTTACCATCTTAAATGTCTATTTTTGAGCTAATCTGCTGTCCTGAAATGAACTCATAAAACAGAAAAGGGGTAAGATTGCTCACCTCTCGGCGGAGAGGTGGTTTTGGATTAATCCTCGCGGTAAAGCCGAGAGAAGCACTGATTTAGAGCACTGATAACAGCCTGTTGAGACTAACAGCCTTGAGAGCGAATAGGATGAAACTGCCTGTAAGATGATTTCTAATGAGACGTCTCGCTGCTCTGCCCGAGTCGTTTCAACCGTCTCCTCCTCTCAGCCATGGCGTCACCCTCTCTCTCCACCGCCATCGAAACCAGAAAACCTTGTTGGTTAAAACATACAAAGTTGAATTGATGAACCTGACTGTTCAGCTCAGCTGAAAACCTTGATGGGGGGGGGGGGGACTTTGCAGCTGTCAGAGAGAGGAAGCGGCCTAACCGAATTTAGCGGGGAGCGGAGTTTGAGGGCACACAAAGACGTAAACTGTTCAGACACAAAGTAAATGTGTTTCTGATGGCTCGGCAGCGGCGGGAAACACCTTCTGACTTCTCCCTGCCGGCTTCTCGGTGGAGTAATGGCGTCAAAGAGGCGACATGACCCCAGGGACATCCTGAATGAGTTTGAAACTAAGGAATCTCAGCAAATGTGGGTTCTGCAGGACTCTTATGGCCCTTTTCTCTTAATTTTGTAGCGAACATACCAATCAACCACACTCTCTCAGACTTAAGCCTTCAAATGGTTGTATCACAGACATGAAATTAGCTCTTATAGAATAAATTTAATCTGTATAGATACATGCGTGTGTGTGTGTGGGTGTATTTCCGCACTAGCTGGCAGATTAAGAGTTAAAAAAACTGTCCGCCAATTGATTCAGTTTAGATTAAGAATGAATTTGGCATCCTTTGGAAAACCTCCCACTTGCTGCAATAAACGTGGAGACTAAATGGGACTCAATAATTGATTGGTGTTTTCTCCTTTGTTCCCCCTGAAACTAAAAGGATGCTCTTCATTTTCATTTCTCCTCATTCCTTTCCTCCTCCTCGCCCAATTTCAGCCAATTTATCTGAGGGGTATCAGCATTAGATCGCTGTAGGCTGGCCCATCTTTGATGCCCAGTCTCCTCTTTGACACATATTGGCCCTCTCTGCTTAGCATTGATCAGGCCAGCTGCCAGTTTTCCTCTTTTCCATCCCAACAGATTTAGCTAACGATGATCGGTGAGTCACAGTCCGACAAGACAGCCGAGAAACCCGCTTAGCGTAATTTTTTTTATTCTGGTGAGTTAATTTCCCTCCTGTTGGTCACTGCTCTCGTATTTACCCTCCCTTTCTGTGAGGCTGGAAGCAGCTGTGACATGGAATCTGATCTCTCAACGAGATCCAGACTGCCTTTGGTGAATAATGGGATCAAAGACTGGAAATCTTTGGCAGTTCACGCTTCCTGACCTTTGAGGATTTAAAAGAACAAAAAAGTCAAGTTGTCCCTGAGTGAGGCAGCGACTTGAGCTGCTCTGTGTTCCGCACTGCTTTGTCAGCTGGGAACGACCCTGTTTAGGCTGTCACACTTCAGGACTGGATCAGGTCCAGATCAGACCTAGTGACATGTCCACACTGACCGCAGACGCACACGCTCAGCAGCGGTGAGCCAATCTGACATTTTGTTTCCAACTGCTACGGTATTTAATGAATAGATAAATAGCCTTGCTGTTTAGAATGTCCTCCACCTTCATAATTAGCAGCAATGCCAAGTTGTCTTCTCTGCGTCTGAGATAAATGAAGAAGAGACTCAGGTTTCATACACAATCAAAACTGGCAGCATTATTTTCCTCTTCCTGCCTTTAACTCGTGTTTGGATGGCAGAGCGCTCCCTGTCTGTGAACTTTTACGGCATAAGAAAAAACTGCATCCGTGGAAAGATGCAGAGTTTTGTTTGGAGATGCAGCTAATCTGCTATCGGTCCCCAGGAGGAGCAAACATCCGGCTGTCCTAGACCTGATCACTGTGCACTAATCGCCAGGGCCTGTTTTACATTGTAGCCAAAGACGTCACACCTCCTGCACAAACCAGTATTTGATGAAAGCAAAATATGAAAAAGCGAAGAAATGGATGAGCTTTCAACTAATTCCATTAAAAAGTTTTAGTGTCTCAGATTGTTTCCTCCCATTCTGTAATAAAAGGATTCTGTCAGCATCTTTAGCTGAAGGTGTTGTGGAGCCTTTACCTGTGCTGTAAACAAAGCACAGTGTAGTTATTATTCATCGCACTTCAGGCTTGGTCATGCGGACTGTGATGCATGTTATCCTCTAACAGTAATTAGGAACTTCCTCTCTAAAGCTGGAATCTGACTGGACCGTGAACAAGTTTACTAACAGATACCATTCTGAAACCATCTTGTTTCTTTAATCTTTTAAGTTTATCCCATCCTGTAGGCTCTTGGTTGGGAAAATATTTAAAAATCTTGTGCGATTTAAACAAACAAATTACCTTGCATCCTGTCATCAACATCCTCCGTGTGAAAGCATTAAAATGAGGCAGATTCTTATTCTTCTTTTCACACATTTGACTTTGACTTTCTTTTAATGTGAAACGTGTTTCTTTTTTCTACCTAAGCTGCAAACAGTAGGTGAGAATGCAGCTACATAAGAAACCCGACCTCTGGGTTTGTTGTAATTTATTCTTCACTCTACATGCGGCTCGTTGGGAAAAAACGCTGGAAGAAAAACAAGCACCTAAGATTTAGAAGTTTAAGGTGGCAGGATCCTTTAAATCTGATCTGTCTCCGCACACGCCTCCACACGGAAACATCAAATGGCACCACAGCCACCGAGGTTTGGCGCCCTCCTAACAGGATGAGGGGGATCATGTTGGCTGCTTTGTGCCCCCAGCCATGGCCAACTGGTTTGGTCTGATGGCCTCATTTCAGCTCTCTGGAGCTGCTTAGAGCCCTTAGACTCTAAGGGCGTGTCAAACATACGGCCCGCGGGCCGGAACCGGCCCCCAAGGAGGTTCGATCAGGCCCGCAGGATAATTTGAAAGTGGAAAAAATGCATAAAAGACATGGAATTAATATTTTTAATTCGCTGCAATTCAAGTTTTGTGCCTTTGTACAATCAGTGGGATCAGTTGCAATGCATATTTGTGAATGATAAAAGTAAATTGCACATTTGTCTAAGGAAATATGAGGTGTTTCATGAAATGTTTTGTAAAAGGATAGTTCATTAAATTTCAATATTTTCCTAATGTTCTTGTGCTTCTTTACACCAAAACAAAGGAAAGACAGGATATTTTTGTTATTTTTAGTATGGTATCATTTTAATGGTCCGGCCCACTTGACATCTCCCTAGGCCGTATGTGGCCCACGATGCGAAATGAGTTTGACACCCCTGCTAGAGGGATGAACACTGAGGCTGCTTTCCTCTGTAAAGGTTGTCTTTTCTTTTTTTCTCTCTTAGTGTCCACACCTTCCCTGTGTTCAGCTGGGTGTGGAGCAGCGCAGCCTCTGCTGGGGGATCAAGCTTCTCCCTGTCGGTCTTTTAAATTGGCAAAACATAATTTAGTTGAACACAGCGCTGCAGGTCCCCACGGGGCCCGGAGCCTATAAAGTATACAGCGCGGCAGAGCAGTCGTAAAGGGATTTAGAGGCCTGAGTTTTTCCTCATATAAACTGCTCAGATTGGATAATGAGGAATGCTTTTTGACACTCTCGGGAGTTGTGTTGCTGCGAGGCCAAAAATATAACAAGAACATAATAGGGAGGTCACATGCTTCCTTTTAGATATTTCTAGATATTAGCCTGAAGGATTTACAGGCACCAGTTAAGAGTAGCATTCATAACTATCAAATTAACAAAGGTTTTGCCTTCTTTATCTTAATTAGATCTATTTATGACGATTATGCCACGCTCTTGTTAAATACCTGTCTCTGTTTAAATCCTGGCTATAATTTCTGTGTACATTGTCGTTTCTCTGGAATGTAGAGCCGAAAAAAGCCTCGGTAGAAAGATTTGGTTTGTTTAGAACTCATAAGACGCTCTAAATGTCATTACCTGCTCCTTCCAAGTCCCCAAACCCACCAAACTACAAAAGAGGTTTCCAAATTGTCTGCAGGTCTGAAATCATTTGATTTTGTTCAGTTCATCTGGCTCCGCAGAAGCAGCGCTCCCTCTGCCAGTCATAATCTGTTCCCCGTGGCTGTGTGAAAATTGGACTGCGGCCTTGGCCGACCACACGTGTTGGGCCCAAAGTGGTCGTTAGTGACCAGTGCAATGATTACTGTTGCACTGGTCTGAGGGTGTACATTGAACTCCTCTCATTTGTCAGTTGCTGCTCCTCAAACTCATAATTGTATGCAGTATGTCTCAAAACAAATGAAGCTGGAAATTTTCCTTCCTTATTGACTTGGCGAGCTGCTGTTCCCCCCCCCCCCGCCGTCTCTACATCTGAAGGTTTTGATGGAATCATGTGTTTGTGATAACCACCTTGCCTCCTCATTGCTCAAAACTGAGTTTTTATTCTTCTGCTCCGTCTCTGCCAGGCTTGGTTCAGAAGGTGGACCAGCGCCTCCCGGTGGCCAACGAGTACCTGCTGCTTTCAGGCGGGGCCCGAGAGGGCGTCTTAGACCTGAACCCCGAGGACCTGGGCGAGTACGCCAAAGGGGCCGACTTTGACCTGGATTTCACCCTGCTGGTGCCCGCCCTGAAGCTCCACGACCGCAACCAGCCGGTCACTCTGGACATGAGGCACTCGCCCCCGTGTCACTCCTGGCTCAGCCTTCGCCTCTGCGACTCCAACATCCTGTCCCGCTGGAGCATCTGCTGCCAGGAAGAGAGCGGGCTTCCAGCTGAGGAGGACGAGGAGGGGGAGGAAGAGATGGGTGAGTAGGAAAATCAGGATGATCACTGCATGGACAGAGAAGGAAGGGGTTATGAGGGGGGTGCATAAAAATGGATAGATCAATGTAAAATAGGAAAAGTGGGCAGATTAGTTTAGGCAGTAAAAAGGGGAGTAAATAAAGACGAATGCAGTGCTCGGTGGGGAGAGCAGGATCTGATAATTAGAAGTATGACATTGAGAAGGAATTTAAATTTTTTTCTGGAAGCCCAGCTGATGCTGTTCTTTTTAAAGAGGTGAAAGGCAAAAAACCTGCAGCGAAAAGTGAAAGACTTTTGCAGGTTGCACCATATAATCAGTGCAGCCGTCTAATGAAACGACGGCAGGGTCGAGATGAGCATTTTTCTGGATGCTTCATGAAATTTACCCCAGCATTCTCGTGACGGGTTGAAGTCACACCAACAGGTCGCAAACTGCCTGATAAAACTGTTTTATAGCCTTAGCCGCGCAGCCTCTCCTTGTACACTGCCTCCTGAATATTTGCGGTGGCCTCATGTGGACAGGGGAGCTGAGCTTTGCTGCCTGCCTCACTGCATTATGTCCTGCTGTGTCCTTGTTATGACGACCAGCTCATGTCCCCATTGTTTGGGATAGTGGGAAGACAGCAACTCCTTAAATGTTAACAGGACTTTTCACATTTTAATGCTGTTCCTGTCAAACTTCTCTTATCATAGTTGTTATAAAAATGTTTTTTTTTTTTTTAAAGAAGGAAGAAAAGATACTCTGGTGTACCTGTGGATGAGTTATTCATAATACACACATGCTGATAACGATCCAAATCTGTTTACAAAACAGCAAAAAAAAAATCTCTGGCTTTCTGAGGGTCTTACTGGGCTTCCGCTGGCTTTATTTGTGAGCTCTGTGACTGCGCAGTACCAGCTGCATTCTGTAGAGAATCCTATAGAGGGGCTGATTCATCCTCTTTGCAGGTAAAGGCTCTATCCCCTCCCTGGGCTCCCCTCAGTCTTTGGACGGATGCTACTTCTCTCCCACCCTGGTGACAGACTGGTTCTGGGGGGTTGTTAGCGAGGCTGTGGAGGAGCTGAGGCGCAGCCCACAGAGGGGCATCCCCACTCCTGACCGCCTGGAGAGAAATGGGCCTCTGACCACCATCATCTTGCAGGTACAGATTAGGTGCCTCTCTCCTGGTGATGGAAAATTGAAGAGAGCTGAGCTCGTTATGTCAGAATCAATAAAGGCCATCAGGCTGTTAAACTTTGGAGTTGTATTCCAAAATCGCTCATTTAAAAAGACATTAACAAAGTGGAATCAATAGTGCAAATGACTGTAGTCAAATGTTTAAACAATTTTTAAAGAAATGTCTAAGCACTCTGTTGGAAATTAAGGACTCGGTTAGTGAAATTCTCATTTTGCCCCCCCCCCCTGGTCCCTGCAGGCAGGCTCTAGCCGGGTTCTCTATGACCTGCTGCCTGTGGTGTCATTTCGGGGCTGGCCTGCTGTTGCGCAAGGCTGGTTGACCGCCAACCACTTCTGGGATGGTAAAATCACAGAGGAGGAAGCCATATCTGGCTTCTATCTGTTGCCCTGCAGCTCCCCGCTGGGTGGTCGGCCGGACAGAGAGTGGAGGCTGGCCTTTTCCCGCAGTGAGGTGAGGCTTTTTGGTGTTTTTAATTCAGCCCTTTGTCTCTTGATCGGTCACTGTCCTTTACGTGGCTTTTTGCGTTTGTCCCGGCAGGTCCAGCTAAAGAAGTGCATTCCTTTCCCCATGGCCCAGGCTTTCCAAGCAGCCAAAGCGGTCCTTTCTCGCATCCTGGCCCGTCCTCGTACAGGCCTCAGCCTCTATCACCTGCGTACCCTGCTCTTTTGGGCCTGTGACCGACTCCCGACCGCCTACCTGTCCTGTCCTGACACGGACACTCCTGGTCGCCTCCTCCTGGGGCTCCTGGACGACCTGGCTCACTGCATCCTGGGCAAAAACTGCCCAAACTACTTCCTGCCGCAGTGCAACATGTTGGAGCACCTGTCTGACAGCCAGGCTCTGCTGGTGGCCAGGAAGCTGGCTCACGTGCGCTCGGATCCCAGCGAGCACCTGCGGGCCGCCCTGGACCAAGCGCAGCAGGCCGGTCAGCTGAAGAAGGAGCTGACCGCTAGTACCAACGGCCACGGCTCCCCCGGCCACCAGCCGGCCAACGGCATCATCTCGCCATCAGAGGACAAGCTGGCGCAGCGGCTGCAGCAGCTGGTCACAGAGAACCCCGGGAAATCCATATCGGTCTTCCTGAACCCCGACGACGTGACCCGGCCACACTTCCGCATCGACGACAAGTTTTACTGAAACGAGTGGAAGTCTGCGAGTTTAGCTCACAAGCACACTAAGGAAATGTCTTCACGTCAGAAGGGTAGGGACACTAAAAGTCAGGCGGGGGCCTGAAACCCCCACACACACTCCCTGTTTGCCCCACAGAGGCAGCACAATGCTATGAAGTCCTGCTGCCCGACTGACTCTAAACCAAAAACACTCTCTTTCTCCTGACAATTGCTGTACAGTTTGCCAGATGTCGGAGCAGACATGTTGTCATCCAGCTGTTGCCACGGAGACGGCCCTTTCCTAACAGGCTGGCCTTAAGGAGGCTTCATCAGCTGGTGCTGGAAAGCTAAGGACGGCTTTTAGTCACGTGGAATAAGTCCCGTTGGCATGACAGAGGGTGATGTGTGTGTGATGGATGGATGCTGGCCTCGGGGTTTCCACACATTTTGGCCCCTCTAAAAACGGCGGTAGAAAAGCTTCTTGATTGCTGCATTTCTGCCCTCTTTATCTCGGCTCAGCGTGGGCGATGGCTGAATTAGAAATGGGAAAATAAGGCGCGGCTGATGCAACTGATTGTAATGTTTTGAGGAGAACTGCCGAGCCTTTGAACAGTTATTTGTAACTTTTTTTATCTCTTTTTTTTCTTCTTCTCCTTTTCAACACTCGCACCTCAGTTCATGCTGACTTTTTTCACTTGTTTTAAACCGATCTTTCTCAGGTATGCACAACCTTATTTGGTGTATTTTATTCCACTTTAGAGAGTCTAACTGCATTTCATGTCACTTGCATTTCTAGTGGACAATGGAATGTACCAAAGAGCCGCGGTCAGGCGGCTAGCAGAGGGCAGCATGGCGCCACATGTCCCTTTACATCGAGTTTTGACACAGCTTGATGAATCCACCCAGTCACAATCTTAATTAGCTTTTTCTCCTTGGAAAGTCTCGGTCTCCCTACTACATGAAATTGTTAAATTTAGCTGCAACATCAATAGAATTGGCGTGAAAAATGGATTTACTCTCCAGGCGAAATAGATAAGTGCAAGTCTTTCATGTCAAGCGCTACTTTGGTGAAGTGGAGGAAGTGCTTGCAGCTCATTAACTTTGTCGGACCACATGACTTCATTTTACTTCCTCTGACAGAGAGGAACGTGTCCACGAGTAAAGCCGGTGAGGCGCCACAAGAACTCGCGACTGCTTGTGTTTTAAACGGGCAGCTCAACCGTCTGAATAGATCCAAGTTTATTTGAAAGGGGGAAAGAAGAAAAAAAGTTTTTATTTTTTCTTTTTCTGGAAAAAGCTCAATAATATTGAATTGTTAATTCGTTATTAAATCTTGTTTGCTTAAAGCAACAAAAAATGGAGGGCGTATCTTCTGGATAAGAAAATATGGCCGAAGTTGGAGATAATTTATCAGAAAAAACTGAAAACTAAGAACAGAAAAAAGTCTTAATCACTGTTACACTTTCAGAAACTTGAGGGCAGTGTTTGAAAACTGCCCTTACCTGGTGTGGCCCGGGCTTAGCAGATCAAAGTGTGGTCAAAAGAATCGAAAACCACAGTGTAGTCATACATTGATCCAAGTTTTGATACATTTTTAAAACCTCAAGTTTTTATTTGATTTTTCTGCCTGAGCAGAGCGGACTTTTTGCTCTCTGTTTGAAGTGTTATGATTAGCCCTTTTTGAAGGAATTTGGAAAGTGGGAGGGGGTGGGACAAGTGCCCAGAATTTCTTGTCTTCTTTCTTTGACATTGTTCATGAGCAGATATGTGTTTGCAGCCATTGAATCACACTCTGAGTGAGTGAGTGTTCACGGAAGGGCCGCATTGATGTCCCTCTGCAGGGGGTATAGAGGGAAACGGGCTCCAGTTTTGCTCCATATTCTGTGATGGCGGGGCATCTGGAGTGCTTAGCGTGGCTACAGCATCATGTTTACACTGCAAACAGCCACGCTGCGGCGCCACGCGGCTGATTTGATTTGGAGCCGTTCGGCCAGTAAAAGCTGGAGGAAAAAGCAACCAGATGAGCGGCAGTTCCCTCACTTCTACTTAAATGAATCCAGTGAGTTGTTTGTTTTACTTCAATGATTTTCATACACCATCTGCAGCTCTGACGGCAGTGGGAAAACGGAAGGTTGACGAGCGCGTTTGCTGAGAGCTACAATGCTGCTTCCAGAACCAGGACAAAACGCCACAAATGTGCAACAAGTCTGCTGTAAAAACTCAGCTCCAGACTGAATCCAACTCCAGTCACAAATTGGAAAGAAAGCCTGGCTCTACTGATGTCGTGCTGACTACTGAACTGAGTGCATTTTTCTATGGTCTGTCTGTGTGTGTGTGCTGTGTGTGTGTGTGGGACGAACCTGAGGACTAACCAAAGGGGGTCGTAGACGTGCTACAGAATGTCAAAGCCGCCAGGCGTCTGAGAGGCAGCCGCACTCAGCTGTTTCTGCTGTTGCCCAAACTGGACGAGACGGAAAAACTTCTCATGACTTGCTCATGGGCTGATAGTTTCAGCAGAAGGTACGTTCCGCTTGGCCTCTTCGATGCGTGCGAATGGAGTTTGAGGTGACTCACTTTGTACCTTAATGGGCCTAGTTGGAGATTAAATGACACTGGAAACAATCAATGTTTTTACTTTTTCTTTTTGTCTGAATTGTACTCCTGAATTCTTGTTTATCTTATGATAGTGACAGTTTCTACGTATGCAAACGCCCTCCCTGTGGAAACCTGTGCTAACTGTTGGCTGTAGATTTACTGTAGCCATGAAATGGGGAAGCGGTATCTGCTGTGCAGGGAGTGCATGAAGCACAGATGAAGCTCCGAAACACCAATCTCTGTGCCGTTGTTTGTTTGTCTGTTTTGTCTTTTTTCCCTTTTGTGGTGGTGGTGGTAAGGGGGGTGGGGGGGTATGAAGTGTTCTTTTGTTGATGATAGCAGACTTAATACAATGAATGTATAAACCATGTCACTCCAATCTGTCCTCTACTAGAGAGCACATTAAAATCCAGATGTTCTCTGCTGTGTCTTTAAAGTGCTGAGACAAACATCTGTTCTGAATCAGTCCGGTGTTTGAGAAACTAAATTTTCATAACTCTTTTTTTAACTTGAGTCCCTTCTGCATTTTATGTTTGGATATCTGCAGATGATTTTCTTTCACTGCTTACTGATTTGCTATATTTATAACTGTTTATTTTCTCTGGGTTTATATGGATCAGTATTTAAGCTTTAGCATGAAATAAATCACTACATTTGAAATCGCACCATGCACAGATTCTTTTGTCTTGCACACATATTTTTTCAATTTTATTTAGCTCTATTATATAAATAATGGTGTCCTACATTTCATCGAGGCCATCTACCAGGATGAAATCTACTGTTGTTGCGTCATCAGTCCAACTGAGGGCGCTACAGGACAGTGCTTAGGCTCAGAACTCCTGGACATGAGCTCTGCCCGTCACACTGCTGGGAAATAAGAGGCTGGAAAAGCACACAGGCTGGGTCAGGTATGGACTTTTTCATCGAAGAGCTTCCTCTAAAGGGAGTGGCTGTCCTATGTGGAAAAGAATGTGACAGAATGAGCTTTTCACAAGCATCTGAACTGTAAAAGCTTTTTTTTTTTTTTAATTGTTAAGTTAAAAGTATTTAGTTGGACACATTTAACTTCACTAGACTTTTTACTGATTGAGCTAATTTTGATAATCTTACAGTCCTCACTTTATGTTTACTAAAGGAAGATAATATCCACATTAAAACAGACTCATTTCGGTAGAAATGTGAAGTTTGATAATGTTTTAACATAGAGAGAAAACTGCTATTTGACTGTCAGTCAAACAAAATGAGCCGTTGGCACACACCAGCCCAAATGGTTTTAAGCATGTTCATCAGATATATAGCGTCATTCCAGCGGTTGTATATCTAAACATAGTAGCATTGGTTAGAGAAAAAAATAGAAAATTAAAAATAAATAAGTTAATAGATAAATAAAACATTATTTTATATTGTGATGTGACTTTAATCACAGTTACGAGATGACGGCAAAAACACACTTTAAACTTTACAGATGTCGTACAGTGCTTGCAGTTTTGTCCAGCCTCAGATTAGCCCTAAAAATAGCGTTTCATACGATGAGAATTACAAAGAACATGAGATTTCATTATGTCCCAGTGGGATCTGTTTTTTTTTTTTATAAGAAGGCACACAGCTCTTTAACACAAGTTCTACTGCCTATGCTCTCATGGGGCAGTGAATTGAAACAAAAATGAGTTCACTTTTAAATCACGGCATGTCCTTTCTCCAAAATGTTGAAATTACATTTTAGCTAAAATATGTGTTTCAACAAAATGTTTCAGAGAGGGCATGGCAGGAAGTTGCATGTTCATCCTCTGCACTGTAATGTAATGTCTGTAATGTAACAAAAAGTGAGCTGTGGCCTCTCTATTGGCAGCTAATGTGTCTTTGACCAGTGACAGAAAACCTGCTCAACAAGTGTAGTAACAAAGAGGCGCCGAATTGTTGTGTCTCAGATTTCTTTAAGGATGCTTGTTGAATGCGAACCCGACACTGACATATTATCCCCACTCTATGTACAAGTGGATAAGTTACACTGTTACAACGGCCTACATAATCATACAGCGGATTAGCATGTATCTGTTCACGTTTTTTTTTTTTAATGTCAAATGTAAGGGGTTTTCACAGGTTTGCTTATTTTGTATTATTTTGCTTACAGTTCCATATCTGGAGGATATCTGTATTGTTCTAGAAAACATGGATGAGTTGTTGCAAAATCCAAATGTTTGACACATACATGTTTGAATTGTTCTGTAACACCAACTTTTACTTCAGGAAAATATATATTCACATTGTTCTACAGTATCCACGTCCCTGTCCTCCTTCTGCTTGTTGGACATGCCCCTCGTAGGTAATTACTACTTTATCCCCTTGAAATGAGGCCATTGTAGCCTCAGTCCTAATGCAGCAACTTTGAGTGTTTGTTTTCCTTAATGTTGGTGTGTGTTGGTGTGAATGAGGCCAAGCTGTAATTCCATAACGTTGTTTGTCAGTGGGAAACCTGGTGTCGAGTGTGTACATGTGTTCACCTGATGGAGGATATTGTAACTTTAGTCAGCGAGCTTTTGTAAAGTCACCCCGCTAACTGAGCTACCTTCCTGCACAAATGAGTTTTTATGTGTGCTTTGTGGAGCTATACAGCCAAACCTTGACCTAAAACGCACACATTCAGGCAGAAAAGCTTGACACCTTCCCCTGATTCTGTCTTGGATTACTGGTATGTGGGACAGAAACTTAGATCCTAAATATTGATTAAGTGGGACATTTTTTTAAGATAATCAGTCAATGGTACACTTTCATGCTCCTTAATCCAATCTGTCCCACAGTTTCCTTTTTGTTTTTCCATGGGCAGTATTGTTTATTATGGCACTGCACACTGATTCTCACTCTGTGAGGCGTTTAGGCTAGTTTCTGTGCATTCTTCTCCATTACTGCATCAAGTGAACGACGAGTTTGCAGGGAAAAGGGGCCTTTTGCTGTCTTTATGTTTTTTCTTATTTTTTTCTTTGGCCTTGTAGATCCAGCTGAACTTCTGCAGGACCTTGTTGGTAGGGCTGCAGAACATCACGTTTAGGCTGAAGTCATGGCCAACTGTACCTCCTACATGTCCGTTTCTGAGGTCTGACACCTCTGATTCACATTCGTAGCTTATGTTTGCTATATTATTTTAACTACGTGACTACATGTTTATGCCAGCGTGTATTCTTCATCAGGTTTGCAATCAACCATCTTTGACGCGACAGCTTTACTCAATGCCACAAATAATTTGGACAAAGGTCTGTGATGCACCGTTTAAAATGGTATCCCACTGAATTCTCTTTGGTCTCTCCAGACCTTTTATAAACTCCTCAAATTTTGATTTACAGTATTTTGTGTTTTTTTGGTGATGTGTGGATGAATGAGTGCCTTGATCTGGCTAGATACTTTGTTAGCTGTGTCTTTGGTTGCCATAAGGCACAAAATAGTTTCCGAAGTTAGAGATATGACCAGAGTCACTCACCCTTACTCTCATGGGTTCAAGCTTTAATATATAAGGGTGAGAAAAGAGAGATATTCAGTTATGATGACACTGTATTCTCATGAGTCCTCCAAGGTCAGCTATATGACACTTTTCATTCTCAAGATTCCCATGGTGCAGAATAGAATAAAAACATGGGAGTGAAAGCAAAGGTTGAAATGGATAAAAAAAATGGAAACATCATGAAATTGCATAGATTGTTATTTATTCAATTTAACTTAATGAGTCAAATCTTGTCCTATAAAAACAATTACCTAGCCTTTTGTGTTTTTCTAAAGATTTAAATGCATGAGTCTGCATATTTGAAATAAATGAAAAAGTTGTGTTCTTAAACAGAAATCAAGTGATTACATTTTGTGAAATAATTTAAAAGAAACTGCCCTGTGGCTGTGCTGCCTAAAACTGCTGAAGAATATTAAATCCTTTTCATTCCTGCAAATGACTGATTCTGATGATGAGCTTTCCATTAGAAAAATGCTCCAGTGGAGCAAGCTGGAAAGAAACAACCTCCAGTATATTGACTATATGCGCAAATGTGACATGCCAACCTCATTCAGAAATCCATCTGATATTTCACCTTGTTGAAGACATGTCCTGTGGATCTAAGATTAATAATGTGTTCATATCTTTGGCCTGAACATTATAAAATGAATTATTCCTTCCCTTATAGCTCATAGCAAGAGATCTTGCAGATACCTCATCTATATAGTCCAGATTCTTCTTTGTTTGAAATTATTCTGAATTGAAGTATATGAATGATGCCTCCTATTCAGTTTTGGTGTCAAACCCAGTATTCATCTTCTTTCTTGTCTCCTTAAACAAGCAGGGGATTCGACGCAGATCGAGAGCATGGGCAGAATCATGGCCAGGAAGCGCCTCACGCCCAGCTTTTATCAAAGGTCAGCTCTGCATTCAGGTCTTTGGACACCTCAGGCACCACCTCGGCCAATATTGTGGCACACTGTTGCACCAGCTCTGATTTAGGGCAGTAAAATATCAGCTTGGTCACATTTTCACCAAATATATGAGCTTGGTTAAAACTAATCTCCGTCATTGTGCTGGGGGAGAAAGCCTGATACGGCTGAGGCCCCCCCTGCATTTGGCTGTGAGCCGAAGCAGATGTGTCA